TAGTTTTGTGTTTTAGAACGCTTTCAAAAATCGGTTATTTAAGTCAAATATATCCGTAATCCCTTTAAACCCTTTCTTGTGATAAAATACAAGTAGTAACTGAAATTTTATACATTTTTAAAAAGAAATCAATTTTCTTAAAATTGGAATCTTTGTGACAGAATCAAAAATATTTTCCAAACAGTTACTGACTTGAAGCGCAGAAGTGACTGTTCGATCCTGAAATAAAAAATTATGATAAACAAACGCGGAATAAAAGTGTTATTCTTAAGTGCAGTACCAAATATGCAAATTTTTGAAGCAGCTATATGCTAAATGAACTTTGCATCTAAAACAAATAACTTCTCAAATATATTTTAAAATATTGTCTGTGCAAAGCATTTTAATCATTTTTATTGAAACTTTCAGGGCATTATATTTGGCTTTTTACAAATAATTGAATTATGTATAGGTTTTGATATAATGAAAAGTTGCTGCGAATTACTTAATAATTATAAAAATAGTTTTGCAATACTGCCAAGAATGTAAATTAGTTTTAAGTCATATTTTTTAACCCAATCTTACTTCAAAACTCGAATTTTAACAATAATCGAATTTCTATAATTTTCTGTGACATTCCGAAGTCTCATACTGCTTTAATTTTACTTTTTACATTCTTCCTATTTTTTTATTCAAGTTATTTTTGTGTATTACTGCAATCACCACTTTTATTATTGTTTATTATTATTATTATTATTAATTATTGTAACTATTATTATTATTATTATTATTATTATTATTATTAATTATTGTAACTATTATTATTATCATTAAAAAAATTTGCTAAGACTTATCAGCAACAAGACTAGAGCTGCTCATCTTACCATTTTTTTCATTTATGCGTTATTTTTGTTTTCTTTTAATATTCGTCCACAACTATGCCTAAGACTACTACTATATTACCGATTTAATGAATGCAACAAAGAAAAATTTGCATTTGAATATTACTCTTTGTATGTGAGTATTCAAGCGTTATTGTTAATTAAAAACTTCGTCAAAAATATTACTAAATGAAACGAAATTTTTATTTGCTATTATTTCGAATTAATTTCTATAAACTATTCTTATTAACGTTACTATATAAAATATTTTGTATCAATTTATTTTATTTATACAAATTCGTACCTAAAAAAACCATATTGACATTATTTGCTACTCTTTGTACGGATCTTAAATTTGAAGTCAATTATCTTATTCAGAAATAAATATGGCTTTTTTTTCGAAGTAAACTGTCTTCAAATTTTGCAGTGATTCTTTGATTACTGATCTATTATCTGTTTTTTACATCTTATTACAAGCCAATTTCGTTTTTTATTCTCTCATTTATGAATACCAAAAAAACAGTTTATATGCTGCGACTTCTTGACCAATTCAAGTAATCATCTAAAATATTCTAAAAAAATACGATCTTGTCAATCGTTGAAAAATAAATTTTTTAAACAATACAAATCTTTAAATTTAAATTTATTTCTTGCGTATTTATTGCAAGTTTATGTAATCTTTTTTTTTTATTTTGGCAAAATAATTTTTTACACTTTCAAATACAATTAATTACTTATTTTTTGAATAAATTACGTGTTATAGTTATGCTTTTATACTTCATTCAATGAATAATCTTTTTTCATTCAAAAAAGCTTGTAAAAATGAATTGTTTTGTATAGAAATATACTTACAGAATAGATACTTTCATTTGAATTCATTTACGTTGAATATTAATAATCATTTCTATGGATATTGCAAAAATATTCTCTTTATTAATTGAACTTTTCAATTTTTAAATTAGACGTAAATATTCTGTTTCCGTTAAATTCATAAAATTTTTGTAGTTTAATTTTTGAATAAACGATTTTGATTACAGTGTCATTCAGAATTCCATGGAAGCATTTTTTTTTTGTCATTAACATTGATAGAATCTGTAAATAAATACTAATACTATTCTACAAAAGTTTAGTTTTTTTAATTAATCAAAAACTTATGCTCTAATCAAATAAAAATAAACAACTAAACTATAAAATTTGTAATGGCCATAAGTAAGAAAAAGTGAACTTTTGAAATATTTTACTGACAAATTATACAGGCTTGATTACTTTAACCTCATAAATATGATAGTAATATTACTTGAATAAATAAATAATAATTGTTTTTGTTCTTTAGAAAAGAAACTTTTGTGCTAAAAAAAATTTCAAATTTTGTATTTGCTAAAGTTTGCACTAACTAACGCCAAAATTGCGTACATTTATCTGTTCCATTTCTCATTACTTTCATTGTTATATTAACTTTGTTTGCATCTTTCTGACACTGAAATCCCAATAGAATTACTTCTTCACAATTTTTTCTGCAAAAATAAAGAATAAAAGTCTTTTCGATTATCGCTTTTCAAAAATAGAAAACTTTTTTAAGCTTTAGAGGTTTGTATGTGTATACTTTTTGTTGATTATCAGAAAATTCTACTCCTTTTTCAATTCTTACATTTTATGTCAAGAATTCATCCACTATGCATGCAATCCTATTTTTCACTTATTACATATTTGCTTACTTTTATTATTCGTCAACGTATTTTCGTTTTCATTTTAAGTTTTTAATTCAACAAAATTTCCCTAAATCTGCTTTATATTCCAATTTTTATTTCTATTTTGAATTATTTTTTGTTATTTTATGCATTTTAATTTCTTTACAAGTAATGTTAGAGAAGAATATCTGCTAAATTTTGCATTTTACTATTCAATCTGTGTGTTAAAAAAATTTTACTGTGCAAATTTTTTATACTTGAAGCAATAATAATAAGTAATCTAATTAAAAATATGTACAAAATAATTGATTTCAGATTTTGTTCCTAAATTAAAAGTACTTATATATATACTGAATTATATAAGATTTTAAATATAGCAAAAAACTATAAAAAAATCAAAATAGCGCAATTAGTATATTGTTGTTAATGATTATGAAAAATTCAAATCCTAAAGCTAAATTTAATGAGTAAATATAAGTTGTATGAAGCAAAAAATAATTTGCATTTTCAATAATTATCTTCACTGTATTAAGTTTTATCTATATTAAGTGAAATTTTTGCTTGACATCTGATATCTTCAAAATATTTTAAACTAAAATTTTCTGCATTTTTTGAGTCAATGATGGATGAGTTTAAGTATTGTCTGAACAAATACATTTATGCGTTTTAAGTACAATTGGGTAGTATTAGAGAGACTTCTTGCTTTTTTATAATCATTAATAAGTCGGCTATATAAGTTTAAGTGCGTGAAACTCTAGCAAAATGCATTTATTAAACAATAGTTGAAAAAATGAATGTTTAAATTGCAAAAATGGTTAATAATCATAAATGAGATAATTTTTTTCAACGATAGTGAAAATTAAAAAAGATTAATTTTAATTAATTTTATATAAAATGCAAAGCAAAGAAAATCATCAACAATTTCCGCAACTTCAGTATTCAATTTTTTGCACCTTATTATTTGTTCTAATTTGAAAATTAAAAAGCCCAGCACACAAATATTAGTTGATTTTTGGTTTTTAAATCAAATTTTATATTATTTTAGTCAAGAGATCAATTTTCACCCTTCGTTACACTAATTATAAATAATTGAACTAATATCAACGTATGCGTAAGTTTAATTTAAATTACAGCAATGCATAGTAGACAAAGTTCATTGAATGTTCGAATGGCATTTATAATATTATTGTTTTCTATGTTAGTGGCAATCTCGGATTCATTTTTGTTTGGAAATCGAAGTACGTTAATTTTATTCATACAAATATTTAGTTACTTATAATGCACAAAGAAATATTTAAGCATATCAGATGTAATCATTGCTTTTCATTTTATATAATTAACAAATTTAACTAAGTAATAGCAAAAGAGTAAATGCTATTATCCAGAAATCATTTTCAAATTTTATTCAAAAAATTAATTTCAATCGGTAAAATTACTATTGCAAAAGGTGTAAAAATGATTATATTTTGATTAATTTATTTGCACAAAAAAGTGCATTTAATAACAAAACTTTTAATCATTTTTGAATAAACAACTGAAAATATTCATTATTATTCGTTTCCTTTGTGTAATTCTTTATTAAAAAATAGAAAAAAAAAAGTTTCTCAAATGGTCTGTCAATAATTTGTGGTAATCAATTTACTATTTCAGATTATATTCGATTTCGTCGTCCAGAAGATGTTTGGGAGCCACCTTTCCGTACTATTCTGTGTGATAACAACTTCCCAATACGTATACAAATAAATGCTGATCCTGAAGAGACTTGCCGAAATTTTATGAATCAAATGGAAAAAGCTATCACCTATAATCAGTGATATAATCCAAATATAAAACTAAAAACAATGATAAGTAAAAAAGTCGTCGTAATTAATAGTGAAATAATAGTATCATATATTTTTGTTCATCTACTGATTAATACATATTTATTAATGTGAATAATCATTAATGATTAATTTTATTATTATATCATTCTATAACTGACCTACTCTAAATTCAACAATAAGTGTATAATAGAAAAAAACTTGACATCGACAAAACTTTGCATATAATAAAAAATATATTTATTCCATTAATCATTGTGCAATATCAAGCCTTACTATCACTTTAAGAAGTAAGTAAGTAAGTAAGTCAGTCAGTCAGTCAGTCCTTTGCAAGCAATTAATTCACATTCACATCTCAATATTTATGCTTTAATCATAGCATTTATTTTTAGAAGAATTTTGCTATAATAGAGGAAATAAGAAGTAATTGTCTTCAGATATTTTATCAACAATGTTTGTATTTTTCACTAAAAAGAAGTACTTTTATTACAATTGTAATGCATAAAATATCAGTCAATAATTAATAAACAGCTTTACAACAAATATTGCTACTATTATTATTATCATGAATATGAACAGTACATGATAATAAAGATTTGCAACATAATTTAATAATAAATATGACTGATTGAGAGAAGCGAGTGAGAGCACTCATATTTAGATAAAAGATAAAAATCAGATTTACAATTTGAGCATCAAAATACTGAATTACTTTTGAGAAAGCATCAATATTGTACACATTTTTGACAGTACTTGGCAGTAATGCTAAAATATAGTTCATTTTTAGAACAAACAAATTCAAATGCCACAAACTATGTAGCATTTTTAATAATTACAGATGGATCAAATTGAAATTCTTATCTGTTAAAATAGCACTTTTTGTAATGCTGAATGTTGCAAAGACAAATCTAAATTGTTATTGCTAATATTGCAATTGTGCTATGCAAAGTATTCTTTTAGTCATATAATTGAATTTCTAAACTATTTGTTAGCAACAAATTCAATATTTTTTTAAACTGAAAAAATGCAATTGAAATGAACACTTGCATAATTACAATTCAGCTCAATTTACTATCTATAGCATCGTTTTATTTATACTTATTAAATTGCTTATTCGTTGTATACAATATTTTTCTGAGATAAAGCAGTTATTTCTTTTCTGACAGTCTTATCTTCATCCATTTTGCATGCTTTCCCGCCTCGATATAAGCGTTTACTTTATAAAACAATCTTTTTACTTTATATATCGAATAATTCTCAATAAACTATACATACACTCATTAAATAAGGCTTATCACACATACGAACTTTTCCATATATAATTCAGATAGCAAATCCGTCTAAAACATTTTGCACAAGTGCGATATTTAAAATTTTTGATTTTTTTTTCGCTATTGATGCTGTAAATTACTTCTGGCATTAGGTCTCAAAATAGTTGGCAATGTATATAATCTTCCAGAATTAATTTGCAAATACTTATACGAAAAACAATTAAAAATAGAAGATAAAGAGTTTTTTCGGTGATATCTGCTGATAACATTACTTAAAATGGTGATTAATACGTGTACTAAGCCCCTTTTGGTCAAAATATTAACACTTACCTACAATATAAAGTAAAGCAATTTAGCATAATTACTTGCAGAAGACTTATTCCTCACGTCTCATTTAACAGAAGTAATGCAATCATATTGTAACATTTATATTCAGTGCTAATGTTTATAACGTTAGCAGCACGAGCCAAGCAAGAAGCAAAGTCGTGAAATCTCCTTAATTATTATCAGAGCAGTCATTGCAAACTGTTGATAATATTCCACAAAGTGTGTGCAACACTGACTGTTTTAGACATTTGTAACTGATCGTAAAGATTGGAAAATTCTTTCATAACTGCAACAATCCTTGAATACATGTCGTTCACACAGCATCAGTCTTACAGATTCTTAGAAACGAAAAGTATTTAGTTTCTATGCTTCTGTTTTACTCCGAAATATGGAACTAGTTTATGCATGAAATACATGAGTATAACAAAATCATTAATGTTTATCATAAATCTTTCCTTCTGCTTCCAGAAGAGCTTCGTCTTCCGAATAAAAAATTTAAAAATCCTCGACTTGGCTCTTTTTTTTTTACATGCATTAGGCGATTTGGCTCTTTTGTATCACTTGCGACTCGCATTACTAACGGTTTCATATCAAACTGAAGAAAGAAAACAAACGCAGGTAGCATGCGATTTAATAGATATTATCTAAAATTTTATAAGCATTTTATTCTTTGACAATGCAAAAATGTTATACAGTAAAAAATTAAAAACTATATTGTCAATTCTATTATGAATCATATATTGTCATGAATTTCATTTGTGATAATCATTTTAGTTCAATTCTTATTTAGAAATTGAATAATATTTACCTGTAAATTAATTGGTGATTTATAAGATGACGTACGCAATATACTTTTTAATGGAAACTGTTTTCCAGCATACGCTTTTATTCTTGCTGCCTCACGCTGACCTATTTTCACAGCATCAGGAGCCATTTTTGGATTTTTATCACCAATTAGTAACAGCACTCGATCACTTCTTAAGAAACAGTATATTTTAACGTTAAAGTTATCAAAATATTTGAGCAAATAATAAATTGTTCAGTATATGGACAGAAACAACAATTTCTGATGATTACCATGCAACAAAAAGCATACTAAGCCAATGGAAAATTTTTGAACGAAAAACAAAAAATGTTTTTTGATTAACTATATAATTTGTAAGATTTGTTATTGAAAATTCTAGTCTTCTAAAATATTTCTAATTTGTTGGAATAAAATATTTATGATATTTTAATGGAACATGCAAAGACAAACATAGAAGTTGGGTCTTCGAATTCCTTTCTTTCAACAACTGTTGAAACACACGGTGCGCTTCGTAAACCAGCAATTATTCGTTCTTTTGCATCTGCTTTTGTATATATCTAAAATTTTATTAAATATCTTTTAAATTATTAATAAATAACTTGTAAATCACCAGTATAGTTCTAGAGAAAAAATATTTTTATTTATAGTTTAAAAAAAATGATATTAGTTAACATACACGTTTTTTTTACAAGTTATTTATTAATACTTTCTTTAGAACTGTATTGGTGATTTACATAATTTCACTTTGAAATTAAAAGTTCTAATATAAATTGAAACATGATAAGTGAGAAAAAATTAAGTGAAACTCACTCGAACACCGTCAACATCAAGAATATGATCACCTTCTTGGTAGCATTTACTTACGATACTGTCTTCTTTACATTTTGTTACTACAACTTGATTATGAATTTGCTGGAAAAGAGAAACCAGCTGAATCACATTTTTAATTTTTACAAGTCAGAATTTAAAAGAAAAATGAAAGTGACTGGAAGCTCGTCAAATTTTATAATGTGAATTAAACTACAGTGAATTAAAATACAATATTTTTAATCAAGAAAAAATACTTAGTCTAATTTAGGCATGACTTCATAATGATATTTAAAGAAGTAATACTACCTTAACTGAAAGACCAAGCTTCATTCCATCAATACGATGCAAATAAGCAATAAAATATTCATAATGTTTCTTAGTAACAAGTCCAATTTGTCGTGCTCTTACATCAGTTAAAGGTGTCCGCCACAATTTACGTTCCAATTCAATTTTTACAATTGGAAACAAACGTTTTAATAACTGTAATGAAAGATAATTGTATTCATAGAATGAATGATTTTTAAAGTTGGTTGAAATTTTATCAATACCATTTTATCAGTACACATAATCTTTATTTACAAGCTATTACTTATTAATTGGTAAAGCAAATGCAAGCTTAATATCTCAGTTATGAAAGGATAACAATTATGTAAATTTTAATCTGGCAGAAGTTAACTAAACTAGATTATATCACTTATATTTGAATAAATATTGTCATTTAAAATGTTCACTTACTACAGAAGATAATGTGGTGTCAATGCCAAACTTCCAACTTACATCATAAAAGTGAACTTGATCTTCGACAACAACATCGTTTATGGTAATAATAACATCACCAGGAAACAGTACACCATCTGCTCGCATATCTTTTTTTACATTTAATACTGTTAAATTTTTACCGAATTCAATTCCAAACTATAAAATGAAACTAAACGCATAAAAGTATTGTAGATTTCACACTATCAGATGAATTAAAAATTATATTTATTCCATGCAGAGTAGTCAACATATTCATTATTGAGAAACAAAAAATTTATTTGGTATGACTGTAAGGGATAGTAATAAAAATGGTTACTGTAAAGAAAGATGAAAATAAACTTACTGGTTCTCCCTCTTCATAATCGATTTGAACAGTAACCCGATAAGTTGGGGGTATCGTAATGAAGGATGCCAAATCCTCATCAAAGTTATCTTCGTCTTCACTTCCATCCATTTTCTCTTTTACACATAATTTCAGTGAAAGTGGAATCTGAAATTTATCGTTTTATTCATCCACAAATACATCGGTCCATTTATCACTCACTGGGTTCAGCGGTAAATTTTGACTGCTTACATTGTATCACTTTCTCTGATATATTTAAATGCTTTATTATATGTTATTAATTTTTGTTTTCATATATTTGTGCTTTTTAGTGAGAATTTCAGTTTGAACAGAATGAGATTTTCAAATATATTTGAACTGTTTTCATTTGTATGCTAGTCGCTGGATAAGAACATTCGATTTACTAAAAACATTATCAGTAGAACATAAGTTAATAAATTTACCATCTTATTCTTCATTAAGAACAAATTTTGATGCTAAGATTCTACTACTTTGGTACATATCACTACATTTAAATCAGCAATCTTCACTCACAATTTTGGATCAACTGCATATTTGGTACACCTTTCAGTAAATAATAGCAGTCACAATTAAATTTTGGTAGTTCCAAATACATTATCAGAATACAGTGAGAATTAAAAGAAGACAAGAGTTGATTTGTAAAGAAGGATTAATATTTAAAAAGACTAACAATCTAAATGTAAGTAATCATAAAATAGGTCAAATACCTATGAACCAAATGAACGTTTATATTTCAGCCTTCAGCTGTACTCTTTGCAAAGATGGATATGCAACCGACTATTATCTTATACAAAGTAACAAATGCTTTTTTTGTATGTCATTTGTGGCACTTATATGCACATTCTACAGTTATGAAGTTTTAACGTACTTGATGCAAACATCTGTTTAGTGCATATCTTTTTCTTTCATTGATAATCTTATCAAAACTTTCAGAAGTTTATGGAATATATTCAAGAAAACTCCAGAGAACTTTAATTTCAGTCTTTATTGAATGTCGTACGAGATGCACACGTAGAATGCACAAACACACGTACACGCTATATACACACATCTAATGGAATGTATATTGTGTTTCAATTACTATATACACTCCATAAGATCCACATTCACATAATAATCTTTATGCAACAGAATTGTCAAGCATAATGACCTTTGGAATCATAATCTGCACTGATATTAATGACCTTGCTAGTAGCACTAAAATAACATTGTGTTAACATTTTAAAACTGTAAACAGTATAGAGTAAATTTTGTATCTTTTTAAACTGTAAAAATTATTAATCAAATACTTAGCAATTGTAAACGGTGTTCATAAATTTTCAGTTGATATTTTAGTGCTGCAGTTTTTTAAATTCATATTATGCTTAAGCCAAATTTTCGAAAGAAAAGAGTTAGTAAAATTTTGCTTCACAAAAATAGAATATAAATAGTATCGTTTTTGCAGTCAGTAGGACTGACTGACTCACAACATGCTCAAACGTGAATGCTGCGTTTTGACATTACTTTTCAACGAATGCAAACATCTATAGTTTTTTTCTTCTTTTTTGCAATCAAAAAGTACTAAGATATTATTTTTTATTTTTTTCCGTTTAAGAATTTGAAAAAAAATTTATTATTTAGTTGCAATATTATTAATGATTCATAAAGCAAAAATATGTTCACTAGAAATAACTATGAATTTCAAGTTCACACGCATGTGGTTATATTATAATAGCTTCTGTTTTTTGTTATGTTTATTGAAGCCTATGGTCAGGTTATTATCTCTTGAAGTATTTCTAAGTGTTTTATTCAAAATATACTAAAGTTAACTTTTATGACGAAGAAATTAAAAATATTTTCAAAATAGAAAAAAAAAATGCTAAATAATTGAAAAATTAGTTAATACAGAATTGGAAAAGTAGAGAATTGTTTTTCAAGGCAGGATTTCTAAATTCAGCGTATTTATTTTCAGAAAAATTAAATGTTGGCGAATGGACGAGCCCTCGCGCAGTTATGCACGGATGACTTGTACGAAATTAAACTTTCAGGCCCATTATTTCTTTTACAGGTTTGCACTTTGTTTATGATAATTTGGAAAAATGTGCATGTTTTTTTCAAAATTGCTAATTTCAGAAGGGAATTAAGTAGTTAAATTACATTGTGTCATGTTTCAAATTAGGTCTTGTGTAAAGAAAAATTTCATTTATTGCATGAAATAAGTAAACTTGTAGTTTTTTCATTTTTTGTGAATTTTAAAATCTTAGATCGGTCTAGATTTCTATTCAAAAATATAGATCACTTTGATAGGAATATTATATATAACACTGTTTATCATTGAGTGATTACAACTCAAGCATTTCTTTAAAATCACAGTTTCATATTATCTCTGTTATTCTTTAATACAATTTTTCATAACAAATTCTAGGATGGTCGGTGGCGATCTTTATATGGATTATTGAAAGCTAATTTATTATTTCTTTTTAATCAACAATCAAATATTGGGGTTGAAGCACCATGTATAATTCTCATTTTGGAGGATTGTTATATGGAATTGTGTGATGACAATGTAACAAAAAGATCGTACTCTTTTCATGTAATTTTGAAAACGTATGGTTTTTTTATTCAGTGACATTTGCATTTTTGACTTCACACTTTACAGCAACATATCCAAATTTTTTTTCTAATTTGAAACAGTTTCATTACATTTCATTTTTTTTGTTAATAGTGTATCAAGTACTACTTATAGACCTTGTCAGTTTTCAGAACAGGGCGAAAATTTTTGTTTGCAGCGAATAGCTATAGAGCTTTGGAGAGGTGGATTTCGTTGTTAACTGTCTCTTCCTTGGAATATATTGCTATTACTAAGCAGTCATTTTTAGAGCAATTAACTGATGTTGGAAAAAAGACATAGTATTATTAACCTGATATCAGAAGTCATATTCAGTTTCTGATAACTCGTACAATATGTAAAGAGTTTCATAAAGAGGAATCAATGCTGCAGTAAAATTTCTTGAAGATTTGAAGTTGGAATCAATGAATAGCATATATAAGGAGCATAAAATGTCAGGCATGTTTATTGTATGATCTTACTCAAAATTTATTATTCATTTTTGATTTGGAGTTCGTCAAGATGTACCTGTGCTGGTTTACCCAACTTGGGATATAGATCAGTATTTGAAGATCAATTTGTTCTTGCAGTTCCAATGCTGAAAACAAAGTATTTATTCCTTACCAGGAAAAAGCTAATAATTTATATTATTGTAAAAGTGAAAAAAAATTTTGAGTTTACTTGATGAGCTCTTAAAGATAACTATAAAGTCGGTAAAAGTGCTTTATATTTGTATATTTCACTTTAAATTTTGGCTTTTTATGAGTCGTTTTCACTCTCATGCACCATGAAATATATTATTGAGTGTATAAAGATGTGTGCGTTGAAGTTACTAACTTATAACTTATGATTCCGAAAAACTTTATTGTATTTTCATTGAAGTTTGAAAAATTTTTACTTCATTGTGTTTCTTGGAGTTTTATTATTTCTAGAATGGCCCTGAATTTGTTTTGTCATTGTGTCATGAAGCTAATCCCATTAAAATAATTATCATCCATATTGTGGAATCTACTTTGTATATATTTTCAGGTAAAAATTGTAGAAGTCGTAGTACATTTGTTTAATTGTAATTAGATTTCAAAGTACGCTCATTATTAGTCTTAGACAGAATGTATTTTTTTAAAGGTTAAAGGCATTTCCTCATTTTTTGATGTTAATTTTTATTTTGATAAATTCTGAGCAGAATGAACTGCTTGTATGTTATTCCTACATGATGGTTAGCATTTCTATTTATTTTGGAGTTTTGTTTGATATAATTCAAGTTTTATAGTATGTGTCAAACGATGACTTTTAGAATTACAAGGTATAAAGTGATGTTATTAGCTTATATTGCTCGTGATTAGTGAACATGTCCCATAGAAAGAAGTAACTTTATTATTACAGAATTTGCTTTATCAGACATGCATTAAATTTTTAGATCAAACATTCAAGAATCACGGTAGTAACAAACGTAATAAGACGGCAGAATGCCGGTAAGTCTCTTCATTTTTCCTTTTTATTTGTTTTATGAAAGCTTCTAATCATTATTGCTCAGGTTTTATGTTTAATATATTGAGGTCTTCCATAATATCAAGTTTTTGACATGTAAATAGCAAAATTTTTTTAAAGGCATACCATTCAAAATTCACAGATGTTGAAATAGTAGTTGGGAATATGGCTATTCTTCCTTTACGTACAAATTTTAAAGGACCAGCTCCACGAACTGGTGAGATGTACAAAATAATACTATTAATAAGACAAAAACTAATATTCTTATTACCAATTTTTTGTAGAGCATTTGATTTCTTTCTCTGAAATAAAGCGTGGATACAATTATTAAGATACTTCGATGTTTAAAGTTTTAATGATTCATCACTTTCGTACTTCAGATAATGGTGATGACATAATTGATGAAGCTCTCGCTTATTTCAAACCTAATATTTTCTTTCGTGAATATGAAATTAAAGGCGCTGCTGATCGTACACTAATTTATCTCACATTATACATTTCCGAATGCTTAAAAAAACTGCAGAAAGTAAACTTCAGTTGGTAAAATAAGTATCTAACGTTTAACGGTAATTCATATATATATATATGAATTGCCATTAAACAATGCAAAATCATCTTTACCATTCAAAAAAATTGCGTGAACATTCAATAATTGCTGGATAATTATTTCACTAGACTGCATATAATTTCAAAATAAACTTTGAAGTCTTGCTTACACATTATCAAGAAATACTTCTCTTTCTCTTTTCATTTGTGTGCCATTTCAGTTGTGATTAAAGTTTTGTATAATTTAGAGTCCAAATAAGGTTCAAGCGATGAAAGACTTATCAGTATTAGCATTGAACCATCATCTTCCTATACCTGGAGAAGCATCATTTCCACTTAACAGCATGTACAGGGCACCTGCTAATCGAAACGAAGAAGGTTGATTTATCGTCCCTATTTACCAGCTCATAATTACTGATCAGAATTATGAATTAGTGATAATAATTCAGAACTGATTCGAGTGTTTGATTATTTTTGTTGATATATAAATTATCTCAAGAGATCGAAAATACCTACATTTCATGAATTAATGAGTTATCATTTAATACAGTGTTTCTCATTTTTATTGGTTAATTTTATTGGTTCTAGACGTCATGCGTTCTTACCTCTTACAGTTGAGACAGGAACTAGGAATACGACTTCTAGGGCATATTTTTGAAGAAAATAAAGAGCGACCGAGTAAGGTAAATTATTGACCGCTCATTTACTCTATTTTTAGGCATCAGTTCCAGTGAATCTTTAAGTGATATCTGGAGCCTTTACCACAGCTATGAATCTTTTGCATTCTACTTCCTTTTAGCTGCTTAGATAAATATCTCGTATTTGACGTTAACGAATCTATACCTTTATTTATTTCATAATATTTGATCTAATTATATAGGTGTATTCTCAGTAATGTGTGTCAAATTGCCTCCACTATTTAAAAAATTGCGTGAAGGTTATATTATTGCTGAGCAATTTTTTATTTCGCAGAAACATTATTTCCTTATGATCCTTTCATTTTCTCAATATCTGGATTGTTTTCGCAAGCATTCTATAAATATAAAGTTTTTAATTAAAATCTATTTAAATTATAAAATTCCTTTTATCTGTGTCTTTAATTTTTTAAGTATATATATTGTTGCAGTGGTGGATGTGCTTTGCAAGAAGACGTTTCATGGATAAGTCCTTAGTCAGTCCCGGCATTGTTTTGTAAAAGTATTTATTTAATGTTGTGTAGTTTAATCTTCAAGCATGAAAAATTGTAATTCTTTATTTTATCAAGCTTTGAAGTTTTGGAATCAACTGAAGATAGTTTTAATAAATGTTTTAAAGAACATGAGTCTCTCGCAAATTGACGGATTATTTGTTGAACCTAATTTTAATATCCTAACTTAATACATTACAAATTCGGTGATCACTATGCTCACATTTCTTCGTTCTAGTCTTTCGAGATTTTAGGTCATTCATTTACCACATTTAGCAATAGATGAATCGCTTTATGAATTTCTATCTTCCTTTCTCAAACTTTTTAATAAACTTTCTTTACAGTGATAAGCTCAACATAAGAAATATCCATTAAATTTTAA